TTGTTTGACATTCCACCTCCAAAAAAACCCCGTCCTAAACTCTCACCTTGTCAATGAAGGAGGCGAACTGGTTGTTCAGGGTCTTGATCTGCTCCTTCTCCTGGGTTTTGACTTGCTGGATCTGGGGGTCAATCTCAACATGGACTGGCCGCAGGAGGCTGGGGTCAACTTGCACCGGCTGGATGCCTCCAGGGAAGCCTGGACCACCAAAGCCACCCATTCCACCCATTCCCCCACTGCCCATTCCACCACCAAAGCCACCCATTCCTGCTCCACCACCCATTCCACCACACATTCCACCACCAAAGCCACCCATTCCCATTCCTCCACCACCCATTCCACCACCACCCATCCCTCCACAGCTCATTCCTCCACCAAAGCCACCCATCCTGCCACCACCACCATAACATCCACCCATGGCAATCCTTCTGCTGCCCCCCGTGCTATGGAGGCTCCGGCTACTGAACCCCCCACAGTGTCCTCCTCCACTTCCTCCCCGGGATGAGGAGTACGAGCTGTAACTGATCTTGCTCCGGCCACCACCGCCTCCAAATCCACCACCAACAGCAGAGCAGGAGCTGAATCCCTTTCTCCCCCCGACTCCAAAGCTCCTGCAGACAGACTGACGAGACATGGCTGGTTTTTTCCAAGCAGAATCAAAATCCAGAAGAGCAGAAAGACCAACGGAGTTGATGAGGGCAGAAAGAAGTCTGCAGAGTCTTCTCTGATTCCAACAGCTTCGGGCATTCCCTTTTATCCGCTGCTGGAGGTGGGCTGGGACAGCTTGGGCGTGAAGGTGGAAAGCAATTTAGTATTTTCATCAGCACGGGGATGTTGACAGATTCTCCATGAGCTTTGCCATATTTGGGGCTGCCCAGAAACACGCCCTGTAATCTAGAGGTGAATAAAACGAGAGCATCGAGACACGTCTCCATGACTAAGTGAACTCTCGTATCTTTATGACATCTTGGAAATCAATTTTATTCATAAACCCCTTTTCTGCAGCCCCTCATTGGCTACCCAGCCCTCATTAGTGGTTCCCAATAATTCCAGATAGACATCTCCCTATCAAAGCTCCACAGAAAGACAAAGTTTTGATGAAATCCCAGCTATAATATGGCTTTCACAATTCCTTACACACACCCTTAATCTCCTTTTTATATGTTAAATTGCATTTGTGTTTCAGGAGATGTTTCCCAATCCCGAATGGGAATTCACGACACCAAAATTTGAGGAGACTCAGCATATTCTCCTGCTAGAGAGGAAAAACATCTCCTTGGAGCATGTGGTGTCACTACAATGGGAGTGTCTTCTGCCTGCAGACTAAATTCCCTCCACTTGCAACTCCGCAAATCTGGGACAACCAGCTGGGGCTTTGGATGATGCTGAAGCAGAGAGAAGAATGTGACTGGAATCATCCCACTCTCCTCAATGTTCTGAGGGTGACAGGGAGTGACAACTTGAGGAAGAATGAAGGGACACATTGGGAACCCTTTGGCGACAATGTCAGGGACAGACAGACAAGCACTATGGAAGAGGAGCGACAGATGAGCAATTTGAAGTGGTAAGGGGTTCCTGCTACTCTGGTGAATCCCACGACCTCTGAATAACCTGTTTTTTCCCAAAAATGAGATGACTGACATGGAAAAACCTGCTGAGAAATGGAGCTGTTACAACCCCCAAGGCACAGTATAACCTTTTGCTTCCAAATAATTTATTGGGAAAGGAATGTGGTTTAGGAATGTGGTTTAGAAATGTATTTTAGAGAATGTCTCTGAAATAAATCCCTTTTTTTGTGTTACATGTAAATGAAATTTAATTATTTACAGAAAATACAAATAATATCAATGTGTTCCAAAAAAAAGTAGATTCTAGTTTAAAAGGAAGCCAAGTCTGTAAATACTATTTAAGAGGCATTCTAAAGGTTTTATCTACCTGGATATTATCAATTAAATACCTGAATAATTCAAATAATTAAATATAAAATGAATGTTCACATTTTCCTAGAAAACAGCACAAGTAATGAAAAAATGACAGAAAATGCACATTGTAGCCCTTGAAACATGAATTTAAGGCCATTCAAAAGACCTGTATATGAACACAGAACTTCAGAAGGAATTTTCAGAGTCCCCAAAGAGATGTAGGCAACTAAATGTGGTTTGAAAGTAACAAGAGGCATCAAAAACCAAAATGTCCCTGACTGTCACTGGGACAGGGGTACTGAACCCCCTGGTCTGCATGGAACAGGGAGGGGAGAACATTCCCCTTGAGGGAGTCAATGGTTAGCCGAGGGTTATCCCACCCTTGGGAGACTCAACAGTTGAACAAGAGTTATCCCACTCCTAGCTCCTGGGTAGTCAAGAGTTATCCCCCTCTCAAGGAACTCAGGTAAGAGCTGGCCAAGGATTGTCCCACCCACCCTTGAGGGATAAGGTTATCCAGATTTGAGGGCGACCAGTGGTTGGCCAGAGGTTACCCAGGTGTGTGTTCCTGCAGCTGGAGAATGGACAGCACCCCCAAAGCACAGAGGGGACACCTTACTTTCCAAAAGCAGCTGCAATCAAGATGGGCTGGTTTCTCCATGGTCATCTCCCACAGGGACATTTAAGCTCTCCAGACCATCTTGCAGCCCAGTACACTTGCTCATGACGAGCAGCCTGGGGCAGCTGCAGCATGGCTCGCGTTTAGGTGGAGAAAATAGGTTGTCCCTTCTTCTGGCCTCCCTCCCAACTGCCAAACCCATGGTATGAAGGCACCAGGACTTCACTGGAATATCCCACAAGGAGGTTCCACAACGAGGAGGATCTGCAAAGTCAGCCAGATGCCTGAGTGCTGACCACGCTCAGCTCCTGCAGATAAGACGCCCAGATTGAGTCACTCTGACATCTTCAGACAAGATGTGCAGATTATTCCAAACCTGGAGTCACTTCAGCCTCCTTCAGGTAAGACTCAACACCAAACTGATCCTTCAGATCTCTTACACAAGGAGTTGAACACGGTAAGATCAACACCAGGGAAAATGTGAACTTGGCAGAAAACGTGGATGGAGACCAAAGCCACACTCCGGCTTCACATCTGACCCAGCCAAGAGCTTCCGTCATGGATCTTGCACAGAGGAGGTGTTGCAACAACTCCTCATATGGTACTACAAGGCTGTGTTCTGGATTTTAAAGCTGAGAAGAAACAGACTCTTAAAATTAAGCACCAAAACAAGTGACTCTTGCCCCAAGCCAAACCTCAAAGTGCTCCTGGCACAACACCAGCTTCTGAGAGCCTTCTCAGCATCTTCTTGTTGGGCTAAACCCAGCCACGTTCCCCAACCCTGGCACCCTCCTGCTGAGCTTCCAGTGGGATAATTCTCTCTTCCAAGAAGCCTGTAGTCATTCCCTCTTGCCTTTCCTGGACCTCTCCCTCGGTCTGCAGCTTCCTGTCCCACTCTAGGAACATCAGCAACTCCCAGAGGCTGTTGTGGGACTCCTGAGCCACCAGTGACAGCATTTTCTGCCTCTTTGATCTCTCCAGGTGGAGGAGGAACCATGGATCAAACACTTTGGACTCCCCTCCCAAACCCTCTCCTTGAGTTCCTCCAAATCTCTCCCTCCTGCTCTTGGAGCAAGGATGAGCCGTCGGGGAACTAATCAGCTTCTCAGGGAGAGGATGGTAACTGAGCTCATGGATGGGGATGAATCACCCTCCCAGCCCGTTGTGTTCCCATGGCTGTAATCATGGCTCATCCTGGGGCCGATGAGTTTGTGGCTGACTGCAGCCAGTGGCAGGTGCTTCACCAACATCCTGATCCATATTCACCTGCCCTCCCACCACTGCACACGGCAACACTGGTGCCATCTCCTTCGCCTAACACAGACCAAAGTCTCCTGCACCTGGAGATGATCCCGAAGGAACCTTAGAAGCAGCAACTTATTTACATTGGTTGGTCCAAGGGGTGTGACACCTCGCATGTAGTGGAAGGTGTCCCTGTTCATGGCAGGGGGTTGGAATTGGATGATCTTTTTGGTCCCTTCCAATCCAAACCATTCCATTATTCAATGATTCCAGGTCTCACACCTGGGATCTTACTTCTCATTGTTCAACTGGAGGATCCAGACCTCCACCATTCCAGACAGAGGCTTGTGCCTCCAGGTGAGAGTCAAGAGCATCATCTTGAGCTGGGGCACCTGCCCTGGTCCATCCCCACCACTGATCTGTTCCCTCAAAAGACAGAGACAGGCAGGAGAACAACCCCCTCTCCCACCGTGCCCAGAGCAGCTCCCAAAGCAGCAACACAACAACATCATGAATATTCTCTGCAATTTATTGGGAATGGCAACATCCCGAGGAAGGAGGGCAGCCCACAGAGGAGGGGGGGAGGTGGGGACACTACATCTGCAGTGTCATGGGAGCCAGGCACTGAAGGACAGTTTTGTTCTCCTTAGGAATAGTCCAGGTGTGTGTGAGGTGTCCCAGGTGTCACTGAGAACCGAGATATGTGGAATGGAAGCTGGAGCTCCGGGGAAGCTGTTCTGGCAGCACACCTGGGGCTACTAAGTAAGCAAAGCTGCCCAGAAGCTCCACCTTGGGCCAGCTCCTCCCTCTAGCCGCCACTTGAGATGCCCCCTCCCCAAGGGACGAGTCCTACTTGCACCACACCCACCCTGACCCCAAAGGCCTGCAAAGGGAATAGCAGGATGGACACACACAGAAGCACCCCAGGGACACAGAACAGGAGGAAAGAGGAGGAAAGAGGAGTTTTATACACATTTGCCAAAAGAAATGTACAACACAGCAAGGAAGGCAGAGCAGCCCCTCCTGCCAGGCAGCTCCCGGTGCCGGGACACCCACAGCATCGCCACCAAACCACCGGGTGGGACCAGGATCTGGGACAAGCTGGGTGGGAGGGACACAGTTCATCCCATTGCAGGACACCAGAGCTGGGCTTCAGGAGGCTGGGCTGCTGTCAGGAGGAGAGAGGAGGTGCTTCTTTCCTTGTCAACCTTCGGGGCTCAGAATCTCACTCCCGAAGATTTGACCGAGGTGGTGGTGACGCATCTCCGCACGGAGGAGGATCCCCCGCCAGAGCCGCACATCCTTCCGCTTCCAGAGGAGAAGCCGCCACCGTACATTCCTCCCCCCATCCCACAGCTGCCACCCATGCTGCCTACTCCAAAGCTGCTGCCTCCTCCACAGATGCCTCCTCCCATTCCTCCTCCCATGCCGCTGCCGCCTCCGAATCCTCCTCCCATTCCACAGCTGCCGCCTCCGAATCCGCCTCCCATGCCACTGCCTCCGAATCCGCCTCCCATGCCTCCTCTGCCTCCAGAGACAGTCGTCCTGCCCACCACAGCTGGAAGAGAAGCACAGGTTATGTTCCCATTCCCCAGGCTCTGTCTCTGAAAAAACAGTCTGATGCTTTTTCTGAAGGACCCCAGGGCAGATACTTACAGACATTGACGTTGGCCATGCCATCGTTGCACAGCCTGTGAAGGAAATTGGATATTTTAATTACCCAATAAAACAGAGGTTGTAAGAACTTTAAACTGTGTTTCAACTGTCAAATAATTTTTTCCTGGTTCACCCTCCTAAACCACTTTGGAATCACTAAAATATTGGAGGAGGAAGGGATTGGCAAGTCCTCTTTACAATGAGGTTTCTCCAGATTTGAGGTTCATTAAAAACTCACCAGTGACAGAGAAGGGGCAGCAGCTCTGTCACCTCTAGGGAGCCAGTTATGTGTCCTGACTCCCAGAATATCCCACAAAGTATCAATCACAACATCCACCCGTTAGCCCAAAGAATTGGTTTGGGATTTCAGTGAATATGCCAGGTGTAGATCACAGCACCCAATGAGAGCTGTGTTGTTTACCTGTTCTCCTCTCCCTCCAGCAGCTTTCTGTACATGGCAATCTCAACGTCCAGTGCGATCTTGATGTTCAGCAGCTCCTGGTACTCCTTCAGCAGGCGAGCCAGCTCCTCCTTGTCCTTCTGCAGGGCACTCTCCAGCTCTTCCAGCTTCACCCTGGCGTCTTTGAGAGCCATCTCTCCCCTCTCCTCAGCCTCAGCAATGGCTGCCTGAAGCTGCTGGTTCTGGGGAGCACAAGAGCTTTCTCAGACCTCATTTTGTCCCTAATAATCAGTCCTCAGGCCCCCAAGAGGAGAAATCAGGAGGCAAATAAACATCTGCATGAAGTGAACTTGGGATGACGGAAGGTTTCTGCCCCACTCATGGTCTTTTGTGATGCAACCTGCTGCCATCTTCCCCCAAGACACCAACGAACCCCTTCCTTTCTTCATGACCTCGATCTCATCCCCAAGACATCAACCAATCCCTACCTGCTTCTTCACGTTCTCAATCTCAGCCCGCAGCCTCTGAATGTTCCTGGTCAGCTCCTGGATCTCAATCTTGGTGTTGCGGAGGTTGTCCCCGTGCCGGCCGGCCGTGCTCTGGAGCTGCTCATACTGATGGCACCAAGACAGAACGACCCATCAGTGACACATTCCTGGTGCCTCTAGATCTGTCCCCAGTTTCAAGGCTCAGGTGACACTATGAGGACCCACTGCACTGCCGATGGATGCCCAGCTCAATGGTCAAGGTGGCTCTGGGACTCAGCCATGGAGTTTGAGCTTTGAAATGGATTTTAGTGACGCTAAAATGCATCTCTTGATTTCTGAAAAGCCACTTGGACTGGAATTTTCTCATTAAGATGCATTTTGGGCCATTTTTATCAGGAGGTTTTGATGCCTTAAGTTTAAGCATTCATATTATCCAGATTCTGTAATGCAATAGTATACAACTCTGAACTTCATATAAAGTGTTAGCAAGTTCTCCTCACAGTTTAGTAAGACAAAACAATCTTTTTCGAGGCCAAAAACCAAGCTTCAAGCCCAAAAAGTATAAACAACACTGAACTGAGGAGCACAGTCTGGAAGGATGGAACTTCATAACCTGAAGCTGTAATTGGACAATTAACCTCAATATGTAAATAGACCAAAACCTATAAAAGTGTGAAAACTCGTGACCTGTTGTCCATCTTGGGTCCATCTTGGTAGCCTTGGCCAGGCTCTTGTACTGCCCAAGGTGTATCATTTGAAGGTCTTTTTAATAAATACCTACTTTATTCCTTTCATACTGTCTGGCCTCTATTCTAGGCAGCCTCCCAAGGCATCAGTTTGTGCCACACACCTTGGTGAGTTTGGGAAGCATTGGGAACAGTGAGTCAGATCCCTCAAAAGCAGTTCAATCCCTCTGGACCTTCCTTGCACCACAAGATCCAGCCCCGTTAGCTTGAAAAGATGTCTCACCCAGACATAAATTATTGTAAATCACCCAGCCACACCCAGGAGTCTCGACTGCTCCCTGACTCACCTGGCTCTGGTACCAGGCCTCAGCCTCAGCCCGGCTGCTCTGGGCAATCTGCTCGTACTGGCGCCGAACCTCCTCGATGATGCTGTCCAGGTCCAGGTGCCGGTTGTTGTCCATGGACACCACCACGGACAGGTCCCGGCTGATCGTCTGCATCTGAGACAGCTCCTGCAACCAAGACATGAGTCAGAGGCATCATCTCAAGCCTAAATCCACCCAGATACCCCGTCCAACCTCAATGTCCTTGGCCACCATACACCTGATGAAAATATCAGCCCCCCTGGAGAAGAGAGAGCTCCTACCTCCTCGTAGATGCACCTCAGGAAGTTGATTTCATCTGTCAGAGCTCCCACCTTGGCTTCCAGCTCAACTTTGGTCATGTAGGCACTGTCCACATCCTAAAGGAAAGATCCCACAGAAAATAATTTTTTTCTGCTTGGGAATCCTTCAGGCTTGTGGGAATTGCCATCTGTGCTGAGGTTTTGATGTTATTCACTGGGACATCATTATGTTTATATACAATTCAGTAACCATAGATGTAAATAATTAAAAATAAATAATGTTATGGTGTCATACAATTATGCAAATTGAATAGAAGGGATTCCAGATATCAGCTGGGACATCTTAAAAACTCCATAATTCCCATTCAAGCACAGGTAAAGTGAAATATTGAGGAATTATTTTGTGGTGCCTGTGACTCACCTTCTTCAGCACCACGAACTCGTTCTCAGCTGTCGTGCGCCGGTTGATCTCTTCCTCATACCTATGGAAAGGAAAAGTGCAAATTATATTCCTGGACTTTCCTGCCTAGAGGCCATTAGAAACAAACTAAAAGGGGGGGAAAACACTAAATTAAAATATTTAGGCTGAAAAGCTATCTCCACTATCACCATAAAAAACAGCTGGGGAAAATTAAAGTGACCAAAAGGCTGCTTGAGCTGCTCCTGGCTCTGCACTCACTTGGTTTTGTAATCCTCGACGTACTGCTGCATGTTCTGCAGCTCCGATTCCAGCTGGCCCCGCTGTGCCAGGATTGAGTCCAGCTGCCTCCGCAGGTTCTGGATGTAATTCTCAAAGATCACATCCAGGTTCTTCCTTGGCCCTGATGGCCCTTGCTGCTGGAGCAGCTCCCACTTGGTGGAGAGCACCTTGTTCTGCTGCTCCAGGAATCGGACCTACAGCCAAGACACGGAGAACCCACCATCAGACAGGAACAGCTCCCACCAAAACATCTCTTGCATCACTCACAAAGATTTGCATGGTGATCAGAGAACAAATTAACTCTGTTTTTTTAAACTTTCTCTTGGTGTCTGAGCTGCAAAATTGGGAAAATAAGAAAATTTCTAATATTTTTCTACTCAAAGGAGTTTTTACACATTGCCCTTACTCCAAGTCTGTCCCCATCACAGGTAGTGTGGAAATCTGATCTCCAGTCTAGATTTAAAAACCTGGAGATTTGAAAGAGAAAAAAATATATAAATTAATACTTAAATGGGAGGTTGTTTGGGTAGAGAGTGGTGGAGGAGGGAGAATCTGTGCCCGAAACCTGCGGAGGTTGAAGGTGTTGAACCTGCTTGAGAGCATAACCTCAGAGTAGAGCTTGGTGCAACAGGACAGATGAAAGCCCTGGAGACATTGCTTTGATCTTGTGTGGAGGAGAGATTCCCATCTCTTCCCTTAATGAAAAGGCTCTGCTCAAGCTTCTCTGCCTGCTGGGATTTAGCTCCAAAAGGACATTTCTGCGCAACTGGAAAGTTCCTCCTGATTTTGGCCTTAATCAGGCACAATCCCACCCTCTCACCTTGTCAATGAAGGAGGCAAACTGGTTGTTCAGGGTCTTGATCTGCTCCTTCTCCTGGTTTTTAACTTGCTGGATCTGGGGATCAATCTCAACATGGACCGGACGCAGGAGGGTCGTGTCAATCTGCACTGGCTGGATCCCAGGGCCACCTCTCCCAGGGCCACCCATGCCAAAGCCTGGGCCACCAAAGCCACCCATTCCTCCACCACCCATCCCACCACCAAAGCTACCCATCCCTCCACCAAAGCCACCCATTCCTCCTCCACCCCCCATTCCACCTCCACCCATTCCTCCAAAGCCGCACATTCCTCCTCCTCCTCCACCCATTCCGCCCCCAAAACTGCCGAGACCCCCGTAGCTCCCGCCAAAGCCGCCCATCCTGCTGCCGTACCCGCCACCGTAGCACCCGCCCATGGACATCCTGGCGCTGCCCCCCATGTTGTGGAGGCTCCGGCTGCCGAAGCCCCCGCACCGTCCTCCACCTCCGAATCCCCTGGACACAGAGTACGAGCTGTAGCTGCTCCTGCTCCGGCTGCCGCCTCCAAAGCCACCACCGATTGCAGAGCAGGAGCTAAAGCCCCTTCTGCTCCCCCCTCCGAAGCTCCTGCAGACAGACTGACGAGACATGGCTGGTTATCCTCAAAAGAGCCAAGAATGGAGAAGCTGAAGAACTAGACGGGGTTGTGGGTGAGGAGGTGGGTGGAAGAAGGGAAGTCAGTCCCTCTGGCTGGAGGGCAGCAGACTCTCCCTTTTATGTGTTTTTGGAGGTGGGCTGGGTCTGCATGGGCGTGAAGGAGGAGACAGGTCCTGTCTTCATCAGCATGGCGTGGCTAAAGATTTCCATCTCCAATTTGCCAAACATTGACCCTACCCAGAAACACACCCTCTAATGCAGGAGAAAAGGCAAAAAAGATCCTACTGGGGCTTCCAGCACTCCATGACTAAGGAATGCTACACCTTTTGGAGATGCAAGAGCCTCCCTGGGATACACCAGGCATTTTTTTTCCACCTTTCATCCACTCGGGTTGTTTCCCTGCTTGTGTTTATCTTTAAATCTCTCACTCCAAAGCCCCATTGCAGGCAGGCACTGCGGCTCATGCCAAGTTGTAGCCTGGCTTTCACAATTCCCAAAACACACCTAAGTTACACCCTAAGCCTTCTTTTTACTTGGAAAATTGCCTTTGGCTTGGAGAATTGAATTTCTCAATCTACAGCCAGGGCTCAGCAAATTGCATTTTGATGAGGCTCTGCACCTTTTTGATAAATAAAACCTCACCGGTGACGAGACGCCAGTGTTGGCACTGGAAATTCATTTATTGTTGGACTAAAGCATGTCCCACTGTCTTCATGCCAAGATAATCTCAGCACTGGTGAGGAAACACCTATCTGGGAAACCTGTGTAGGATTTTCTAAAAGCTTCAGGACCATGAGGAGACACCAGGCACTGTCTGCCGTAGTGGGACGTGCAGGAAGATGGAGGGACAGCCCCGGGAGCACAGTAGGAGGAGGGATCCCAAACCTTGCTGCCCACATCACATGCCCTGGAACAATTTAAATGCAATTAATAGAGATCAACTCATTTATAGAGATGTGAAAATCCGGAGAGCACAGGGCTTGGAGGCATCACCATTCTTTTCAACTGTTTCACTTCTTTAGGTGTTTATATGCAAATATATCTCTGGCAGATGTAGATTTTAGAAAGGCGGGAGTTTGTCGGAATCCTCCATTTCCAATCCCTGAGGATGGATTCAGACTGTGATCCATCACAGAATTCCAGAATGGTTTGGGTTGAAAAGGACCTTAAAGCCCATCTCATTCCTCTGCCTGCCATGGGCAGGGACACCTTCCACTATCCCAGGTGGCTCCAAGTCCCTGTCCAACCTGGCCTTGGACATTTCCAAGGATTGGGCATGCACCACCCTTCACAGGATCGTGGAATGATTCAGGCTGACTCTGTAAGTCAGTTAATCCAAAAATCCATCACAGATCCACCCTTTTGCCCTGCTTATCAAGCAATTAGTCTTATTTTCTTTTTTTTTTATAGAAAAAAGTAGAGTTCTTTACTACTTTTCAACATTTTAAAGCCACCTAGGCCGTATTGAAGTCCAAACCCACACCTCTGGAGGCACCTAACTGTGCTGGCAGCCATCTGGTGCAGGTCTCGGAATTCTCACAGGACACATGTTAATTAAGAACTTCTGGAAAATCCACACCAGCAACTTCTGGTATCATCAGATGTTTAAATACCTCTAAAAATATCGCCCAGACACCCATTTCCAAAAGTGCCTTGGGACCTGGACGTGCAGCTAAACTGGCATTTCCACTGGAAAACATGGCATTCCCTGTGTTTATCCCACCTCCAGGATCTGTGTGGGTCTGGGAGGACTCAAGGAGGTCGATTAGGAGGGGTAGATAAGGCTAATAAAAATGATGGAATCACAGAATTGTTAAGACTGGAAAAGACCTTCAAGATCACCAAGTCATACTTTTGGGAAAGTAAATATATATAATATCAAAATCTCACTGTGAGAGCAAAGGAAGGGAGGGGTTGGGGGTTGGACAGAAGTTTTTATAGGCAATAAATCTAAAAATAGACAAGAAATCAATACACAGACAATAAAAATGGGGGCTGAGGCACTGTCCCCCAGCAGCCCAGGCAAGACCCACCTCCCCCAGTGTTATCAAACCTCTGGTTACGCTTTCCTGGGGGATTTTTGTTGGGATTTTTTTCTCCTTCTGTGGGCGGGATGACACGATCTGAAAGTTCTCCTGTTCCCAGGGGAGGAGAGTTCCCGAGTCAGCAAACGGCAGAGCCCCGAGCGCCCATACAGAGATAACGCAGAGCGTTGAGTCACGGCCATGGCTCCAGCCAAGCTTAGGAAATCGAACTGGGATTTGGGCATTGATACCACCTCCTGGTTCAAACATGATGGGCAGAGCTGGAATGGCTTGGGTGAGAAAGGAGTGGAAAGATCATCCCATCCTACCCCTGCCATGAGCAGGGACAACTTCCAGTAGACTGCACTGCTCCAAGCCCTGTCCAGGCTGGACTTGGGCACTTCCAGGGATGCAGCAGCCACGGCTTTTCCAGAAAATCCATTCCAGGACCTCACCACACTCACAGGGAAGGAATTCCTTCCGGATATCCCATCTAATCCTGCTCTCTTCCAGCTGGAAACCATCATCCCTTAGCCCATCATTTCAGGCCGAGTCCCTCTACAGCTCTCCAGGAGCCCCCGGTGCAGGAAAATTACTTCAGAGGTCACTTCCCACCCAAACTGTTCCATGATGCTGTGAAAATTAACAGGCCTTGAATAACTGAGAGGAAACCATGAAATCACAGAATCATGGAATGGTTTGGGCTGGAAAGGACCTTAAACTTCCTCTTGGTCCATCCCCTGCCATGGGCAGGGACAAGCCCTGATGAATCCAATCCAATCCTATTTTCAGACCATGGAAAACATTGTCTCTCTTCCAGCCATAGGCAGGAATTGTATCATCTCTGTGTCCGGCCTGGGATAATTTTTCCCGAATTGCTGGTGCAATCCCAGGAACAAAAAGGGAGGGATTTGCAAGTAAGTTTGTTTTTGCGACAGCCTTTGTGCTCCTGGAGAAGCCCTTTGTCTCTCCTCAGGCAGGAGTCACTGCTGGAAGCAAGTTTGGATTGGGGTGACTCCGAGGGATTGGGGTGACTCTGAGGAAGTCAATGCCTTTTCATTCAACAGCACTTCAGGTCACTTTTACAATCCCTGAATGTTTAACCACCGCTCAAACCATGTCCCCACCCAAGCAGTGACAAGCCCATGCTGGCAGCATTGTGACATTCCATTGTGACATTCCGCCTGTCACTGCTGGTACTGGATGTCTTCAGCCTTTACCAGCTCAGAATGGAACATGGGAGAAGTGGGATGAGTCACCCCAAGCACAGCCTGTGGCTGGCCAGGGATGTGATTCAAGGTCTCCTGAGCAGGAGGTCAAACCACAGCAGGAGTTTGGGGATCAAAATTTATCCAAATACTGTGCTTTTGAGGAGAGGGGTGTTGGATGGAGCAGGGGGAAAGGTCTTGCTCTTCCCATGGTCTCAGCTACCTTTTGGAGATGCCTTAAGAGAAATCCATGGATCCTTGATGAGTGCAGACAGTAAGAAAAGCTGCAGGGCTGGCTCCAAAATAATGGATACCAAGGAATTAACTCCAAATTATTTGGAGGGGTGATGACTGCTCTTCCTTCTCCCACACCAACCATGGTAGGATGCTCCTAAAGCACCTGGAGTGCACACAAAGAGTGTCCTGGGAGCTCCAGCTGTGGCACTGCAGTCCTGGGGCCACCCCAGAAAACAGGGTGGGCAGTTGTGTGGTCAGGCACAGTGGCCAGGGAGAGGTGGGACAGCTGGGGAACATCCCAAATGGGCTAACTCCAGCATGGAAGGAGCTTAGGAGGAGAAGGAGGAAGGGAAGAGTCTCCTAAAGTCCACAGAGTCTGAAAGTCTTCTCAGACCTGGTGGGGACAGTGGTGGAACAACAATCTCTGCCACATCCAGAGATCCTGCAGGACACACAGGAGAATTCAGGGGCTGCCTCTTTCTGCCAGGAGTGGGCTCATTCCCAGGGCTGTCACCAAAGACACCCCCGACTGTGTCATTGTCACTCTGCACCCAACATCCCTTCAGCCTCCCCAGCAAGACCCTCCTTACTCTGCAACACTCACAAACTCCCCACATTTCTGGAGACAGAGAGGGGTGAGAGGAGACCCGGTTGCCCCTTCACCTGAGTTCCTTTAATTCAGACTTCAAAGGACAGGAGAAAGTCAGGAAATGTTTTCAGATCTCATCAGAAGATGAGACTTGTTACAACATGAAACTCTTTGGTCGGGGAGAAAACCACACCAGGTTTCTGCCTCTCATGTTTATTGGGGGATGGCACATGCCAAGGAGAAAGGCTTAAGCAAACACACATGATTGTTCCCATAGTCCCAAGGAAAAGGTGAACTCTGAGTAAAAAATAAACATTTTACAACAGCAGGAGTGAAACTTGTGGGGAAAAAGCAAACTAAAAGTCAGTTGGGTGAGAAACATCTTCAGTCATGGCACCAGGAGGAAATTCCTGTTTTGGAGCTTGAGCTGAGGCTGATGAGTGACACTGATTACAGCTGCACCATGGCTGGATCCAGCACAAGAGCCTGAGAGAAGCCAAGGCTTCCCTGCACACTCGGAGCTGTGCTCGGATCCATCCCTGCTCCTGCCTGTTGTCGGGTGGCTCTTGCTTGGAGGGTGCTGGGCTCATCCCAGCCAGGTTTGGGGCTCCCCATGAACGGGCAGGTCCCACTCCCGAAGGAGAGCTGGGCACCTTGATGCAGCTGGACGGGAGCACAAGGGATTGAGCTGTTCTCGGATGCTGTTGGGAATCTCAGTCCTTACCAGGTGGTCACTGGGGGTCATTGTGGAATTCTCTGCCCTTCTCCTCTGGGTGCCAGGGTTGGGGGGTTGATCCTATTCCTATGCCCTCCTGCTGGTGGGGCTGCTGTTCTTCAGGATGGTGCCAGATCCCCCCACCACCACTGAGTTAGATCCCCCACCCAGGGAGCCAAATCCACCCCCGGCACCAAATCCACCCCCTCCCAGGCTGAAG